ATGCTTTTTTTTCTTGAAAGCTGAAGTCAAGGGTGCAGCAGTAGCGTAGAGTGGAACAGAAATCAGTAGACCAAAAAATCTTACAGCAACAAACTGGTTGTTTTCCATACGAATAACGTCTCCGACTCTAACATTCATCCACTTTTCCTCCACTAGTCTTCCATTTCGAACAACGTATGATACCCGATGATTAACCTGATTGTCGCTACGATAGCGTTCCTGCAGGCTCTCCATTCAAAAAACCAATACTTTTTTGGAATTTTTTTCAACTTTGTAAACTACTTTTTTTAGTGTTAAAACGCTGCTGTAAACCACACGTCATTGGGGACTAAAACTTGTTTCAAATTCAAAACTTGGTTTATTAAAAAAAGTGCTAAATCAAAACAAGTTGCTTAAAGTTATTCTGTCTTAATGACGTTTCTTTTTTCATCTTCACCTCAACAACAAGTGATTTTGTAAACAGTAATAATTTTTCCTGATTGTTTCAAAACAAAATATGTCTGAAAAAGTCGTATTAAAATGAATTATGTTTTATATTCTTATTTAAAGATTTTTTTCCCGAGACAGTAGTTGGTTACGCAATGTTTATAAGACAATCACGACGTGCTTGGAATGCTCATTGCCCTAAGAATTCGCTAATCCATCGCTTTTTCAGACTCATAAAAAAGCAGCTAAGCTTACGATGTCATCGTAGGCATCTTTTACGGCGGTTATCGCTAATACAATAGCTAACGGTACTGCAGTTGAATACCATACCATAGAACTAATCCATGGCAGTAGCTGGAAAAGTTTTAATTTTTTTTTTATCAATTTTTGTTGAATTTATAGTTGATAACTTTCAAGCAATACGAAGTTAACAAAAAATTTACAAAGATAAATATGCAGTTTTTAACGTTGTTATTTGTTATCACTTACCTGAAAAATTAATAAAATTAAAAAATACGTGTTCGCTACACGTCTGAACTGATCAAATAAATTTGCAGGAAGAAAAGTCAGAAGATTGTACTTTGACGTTTTAATGAAATTATCCTAAAAGGAACAGTTGTTTAAAATAATTGTTCTGAAAGAAGTGAAAAAAAAGAAGTGATAATAAGATCTGAATAGTACAGGTAAACGTTATTTGGTTTTTAGTTTCTAATAAGTCAAATTTTTTTTAGTAAAGAGAAGTAAAACAAAACTGCATAACGAAATCGACGATTAAACTCTGGGTCATTGGCTCTTAAATATCGTTCTTTTTCTATTTGAGACGATTGTTCTACATTCTTGCTCTTGCTGATATCATTAGAACAACTGAAGATTTCTTCTAACTTCATACGCCAGTTCTTTTTCCACGGTTTGTACTGACTTGCGGTATCAGGCAAGTTCGGTCGTAACACTGGCAATTCTCCTAAACATGCGGTATCAAAAAAATAAGTTTGAAAAACGCAAGTAAATATAAAGCTTAAAAATTTTTCAAAACATTTAATATGCAGTTTAAGTCTTAACATAGGTCTGATCAAACTAAAAACAACGGAACACAGACCAATCGTAGAAGCGTGTTTTTGATGTCAATTTTAATGTCTTAACAGCAGATAAACACAAGGTAATCAGATAATATATAAAATTTAAAGTAATTAAAAAATACTTTTAAGAAAAAAATGTGTATTTTTCAAAAACAAAATAACGTTAAAAAAACAATAGAGCCTCTCGGTTATCATCTATTTTTTGTCGAAACAAACTTCTGTTGAAAAACTTTGTCAGATTCTTTATTCACTTTGGCTATCTGCATCTTATCTGCTTTAAGAAAAGCTTTCTTGTTCAAGTAAAACTTAGGTGCTCTTGAAATATCTTAAGTAAAATCAAAAAATATTGTTTATTTTGCTTCTTTCCTAATAAATTCTGGCTTGAAACGTTATTGCTCTCAGTACGCCGATAAGTACGCATTGTTTACAGCTGAGCTTAAAAACTAGAAAAGGTGATAAGACAAATCTTTAGTCTGATGTTGTCGAATTTGGAATTAAAAAGTATAAGTGAATTAAAAAATGGTTTGCAACAGAGAAAAGTGTAACAGAGAAAAGTTACTTAATAGAGTGTTTGTATAAATTTTTTAAGAAAGAATTAAAGTTAAAAACAGTACTTTAAACTGCCTCTCATGTTAGGTCACAAAGTAGTAACTATTTTCATTTGCCTAGTTTCTATTTAAAAAATTATGCACAGCTTTTTAACTCGTTTTTGAACTTACAAACATTTATACCAAGCTTTATTTTTAACTGTTTTTTAGACATCAAAAGCTCAAATAATTAAAAGTTTCAAAAAAATTTTTTCTTCTAACTCTAGTCTCTCAGAACTACTTTCAAAACGATAAGCTTTCACTTCATTTATCTCGTTTCTTTCATAGGCAGTATTGTCATTTTAGCAAAATTTCATATGAGGCTTTTAGCACAGTTACGAAGATTTCAGTATGACAGCTCAACTGACAGCTCAATAATACAACAAGGTAAAAACGAAGACTTTATTCAGATTTTCAGTGCTACCGTTTGGTTTTTCTTGTAGTGCTAACAGTATTCAGAACCATCAACTTTTAAAGCACTGCTTCCAAAAAAACAAAAATTAAAATCAGATTACATGCAATTTTTTTATACTTAATGATGAGTGTTTGCAGGTAAAGTGCGAAGCATAGTACAGCTTTATGACAGGCTGAAAGTTTTTTGGAAGATGTCAACGTGAACAGTTTATGTACATGAGTAACTCTCTGAATTGCATGCCTTAGTGCTCTAAACAACTGAAGAACGCGAAAAACATCGTTTAATATTTTCGGTTACTTGTTGAACTGTTGGAAGTAAAAAACCAGTAAAGCTAACAGCATACTTTTTTTATTTGGAAAAGTTGTTCTAACAGATGTAATCAGCTGCCTTTTAATCTGATTTTGAGGTAAAACGCTCAAAAAAAAAAAAACAATTAAGCAAAGAAGGCAGATCTTGCAGAGAAAATATTCAGATTTCAAATAACAAAACAATGGAAGATGTACGAACGATAAATAATGTAGTTTCAGAAACAACAATTTTTGGCTTAAGATTGCACTTAATACCAGCAGATTTGCCAGTGTCTTTTTGTTACCCTTACTTTTGGCACCTTTAAAAAAGAAAGAAAAAATGAAATTTTTTTAAATAAGCATTACGCTACATTTACAATGTAAGCTTTTTCTGCTCTTCTGCTTTGAAGAATTAAAAGCAAAGCAAACTTTGGTGAAATACATTGATTCACTTTTTTTTTTTGTATAAAACTTTACTTTGAGAAGAAGTAGAAAGTTGTTAACTGAATAAAAACTCATTTTTTTTTGCTTTTTAAAACAAACTCTTATTCTATTTCAATATTACACTAGCATTTGTTGAAGCAAGTAACTCGCTTTAACAAATGCGAATAAGTATGAGTAATTCTGCTAACAGTCGACAATCCTGGAAGGTCTGTGAGCACCATTAGAAGAAGCTCTCTATCAACAGACCGTCTACGACATAAACACAGACCTTACATATTTATCTGTGTGGAAGTTAGTTAGTAAATAAAAAGTTTCAAATGTATAGAAAAGTAGAATGCAGTTGGATAACTAGATAAAATAGAACGCGACAAAAGGTTCAACTCTAAAAACTGTTTCGCTGTCGAAAGAAGAGAAAAAAAAGTATGCATAAAAACACTAACTTTTTTGAAACTTGCTATTTTTATGACTATATGTACTAAAAATAAGCACTAATCGTTTTTGTCATCCACTTTGACATTTTTCTTTTAGTTTCTAAAAACGTCAAGAAAGCTCAGGAAAAGCAATTAGTGTTTGTACCAGACGTGAGTTAAAAAACTACTGAAACCGAAGGCAACATGACCAAAGAAAAGAATAATTATGTTGATAAAACGAAAGTAATACAAACGCTCTGAAGGGCACTTATTCTAACAGTAAAGAGACCAAAAAAGCATGATTGTGCTCAAAGAATAACCATTTGTTTTAAGTTTTGATCTGATGTTGTGCCTCCATTAGTAAGGGAATATCACTGCATAGAAAAGCAATTCTTTCTTCCTGTTCTGAGACCTTTTGTTGACTACTTTCCAATCAACTGGAAAATACAATTTTAGTTGCAAAAAAAGACCAGATATGTTTGCCAGTTACTCATTTTCTAGCGAAACATTGGGAGAAATTGCTTTAAGACAAACATTTGGGGAGAGGGAGGGGAGATGGGAAGGCGAGAGGATTAAATTAGTGCCGGCAAAAAGTGTTAAAGTTCTTCAGGAGCCCAAAAAGATATTTGGTAAACCAGCAAAATGCTATAGAAGTGGTTTTTCATAAAATCACAGAAGGTTAGGGAAGCGCCTTTTTTTTCTAAAAGGTTAATTTCTATACCATATTTAGCATCCTTATTCAGCGTTGCTCCCGCTTATCTGTTGTTACTATTTCGTAATTGAATGATTTTTATATTTATCGGCAAACAATTACCGTTAAATTGATCACACATTTTTATCATCACCCTGCTTTCTTCTCACTTTTAATGCACATCGCATTTGACTGACCAAGTAACCATTAATTCGCATTAATTTTAGTGACAGTGCTATAACCGTCAATAGCAGTAAAGTAATGGCAGCAGAAAAACATCCGCATCAATCATCCGATGTCTTGATCAATCAAATTTGAACACAACTTTTCCAAATCAGGCAGCGCAAAAAAACTGACCATTGCGAGAAGCTTCAAGCATACAGTAAGGTAATCACTTTTTTGCTCTCTCACAACTGCAGTCTTTCAAGATATATAAAATAAGGGGTACTCTAAATTACTTAAAAATCCTTATTAGTGATCTAAAGCGGTCAGTAACTCATTTCAGATACCACATTTCAGAACAGTTATTATCTCGTTTGAAACAGTGCGATAGAGAAGCGCAAAAAGAAACAAAATTACGACCAAAAAAATTACTACAAAAAGCTTTCCAGAAACAAAGAAAAACCGTGTTGCTGTTGATTGACGTAAAATATGAAGAAAAAATCAGCAAAAATTTCAACTTGTTTACATAGCTGCTTCAGCCGATAACTTTGACAGGCGGAGCACAAATAAAAGTTTATATCATACCTATAAGAGCATAAATAAATAAATAAATACGCATATGCATGTATATAAATACAAAAATATAAATATATAACATAAAAATATAAAAATATATATGGGTATATTTATACCTATATTACATGTAAAATTATGCATATGCACATATTTGCTTAGCTCTCTACACCTACATACATATTTTTTTTTCTCTTTATACTTACATAAATAGAAACACACAAATATATAAAAATATAAATGCATAAATATAAAGATATATAGATGTATAAGTATGAAAACATAGAAATATAAAAAAATTTGAATATATTCAATATATAAATAAATAAATAAATAAATAAATAAATAAATA